TTCTTTGTGTTTGCCTCCACCTAATATCTCCGCTTTGTTGAGCAGTGCTTCTGTGTGAAGTGAACGCTTGCTAGCTTTTTAGTTTGTGGATATCGGGCACTGCCTACAGTGAACCAGCTGGTAGCCAGCCTTGATTTTGGCTGTCACACACTCAGAGGGGGAATGCAGGCCAAGGTTTTTGCCACACGGGGATATGGGTGAAAAATGTATAGGGATTTAGGGAGGTTACATGGGGCTAACTCATTTACAGCATCTGAGATCACACCATCAGCTGCCACTCATCTGAGACAAAACGGACCAAGTCTTGCAGGGGATGTTTTCAGTACAACTGCAAGGGAGATGGTGTTTCAGTGATTTAAGAGTTGGTATCAGGAGTTTGTGGCAGTTCCTTATGATCAAAGGAGAAAAGCTTTTTTGTGAGCCACCAGTTTTCCTCCAATATTCAACAATCATGTAAGAAGAAATCTAAATCCGGAGAAGATACCGTAGCAGTTCCACTGAGACAAAATGAACTAAAGCAGAAAAACTAATGTAATCATAAAAAAAAAACACAACCAGTGCATCAGTTTTTTCTACCCCTATATTATTATTTATAATATTATAGAGGCACATGTTGAAGTAAAGAAATGTTCATTGGTTCAAGCTTCTTTTGGCTTTTGAACAGCCGGTAGGATAAAGCATAACATCTGGATATTTCACTTTTATCTGAGGGAAAATTTTGATAAACAGCTGTTTCTGTTTTCTTACATCATACAAATAGAGCAGCTTATTGAGAAAATACTTGGCAGATCAGTCAGTACTGGAAATAATTATTAATGGCAAATCAGTCAAGGTGGATTATTTACCTTCTTGACTGAATGACATGGGGAGAAACGCACCTTTACATTTCTGAAAACAAGCTCACATTTTCATTATATTCATGAAGTTATACTGTACAAATTCAGCTGTTTTGCTGTAGGTTTCTTTTGGGTTCTACTGCATTCATCTACCTGCTTCATCACGTTGTTTTGCTGCTACTCTCTCCAGGGAGATCGGCTAAGTGCATGTGCACAACCCCCCACCCCCTCTCTGTCTTGCAGGGTATGCTGACATTTACTCGATATGGCTATGTTGTTTCCCTGTGGTTTAGGTATAGTGACAACCGTGAGTCTGGACTTCTGTTGCAGTGGAGAAGGAGGGAGAGGCCAGAAAAGGGGCAAGATGAGAGGAAGATAAAGAGACTTACAGCAAAAAGGTTGAGGCAGCAAATTACAGAGACACCCCTAAAAAGACATCCCACTTTCACTTGTAATGTTTTACTTGAAATCCTAATTAATCAGTCACTCACCTAACCATAAAAATCCTTGTTTATTTTGCAAACTGTGCATTTGTCCTACTAATATGTTAGATAGATATTCATTCAGTAGTTTCATGTGTGTGTAAAGCTGGGGATAGGGAGAGATGGGGGAAGGGAAGACACCAAAGGGGTTTGAGAGGTGAAGGGGGCAGAAGGTTTTTCATTCTGTTATCTTATGACGCATTTCAAGGGCCATTTCAGTGGGTTCAGAGAGAGGGTTAAGTCCAACAGGCATCTGAGTCAAAGAAATAAAATCTCAGGAGCTTCAGAAAACAACAGAATTGTGAACGTACGATTGATACGCAGCAGCGTGACATTTCTAAATGATCAGTTTTGTCTTTTGGGCCTAAAAGCAAAGAGGCCACTAAGGATGCAGATTTGATTCCCTCTGGGACCAAACATGCATACAAACGTGCACTCCCTCACTCTAAGCAGCTCTGGAGAAGCACACCAAATGGCATATTTTACGTCCCGTGGGCACATGTGCATCTTACTGAGAGAAACCATAGCATGTGTTTTCCATCCAGAGTGTGTACTGCAAACAAAAATGAGTGAGGAACAGCTATCAACTGATACAGAGTTACACCAGGATGTGCGTCTGTCTACCAGATATCTATCAAACATTTTAGTAAGACAATGCACATTTCACAGAATAAACTAGATTTAATGTTGTGTGCTTATATTGCAGGTTTACATTCAGTTAAACCAGATCTACCAGGATTTTTATGATTATGAGACTGAGTAATTAGGATTTCAAGTAAAACATAAAAGTGTGAATAAGGCATTAATGGTTTCTCTGTAGACCCTACATGTTTTGAATATAAAGTCATTGTGGGCTCAAGGTGTTTTCTACACATTCTTTTGGTGTCACCCCAATTTGTAAACTACAGTGTAGCAGTCATCTGCTACTGACATGCTGTCTAGACAAAAGAATAATTATATATACATGGAGTTTTTTAAAAGTGCACTAGGTGAATGGAATATGAGGGAGCAAATGTAAAATGTTGAAACAGATATATCCTGTAACATAGCTATGTTCCTTTTAGCTATGGTCTGAGAACAGTGTGAGAAAGTGCAGCTCATGCACGATAGCCACCAGGCTTTCCAGCGCACACGTGAGAAAATGCAGCTCATGTGCGATAGCCACCAGGCTTTCCAGCGCACAAGGACGAGGAGTCTGCTGATTTTTATGTGTTGCAATTCAGAATCAGAATCAGCTTTATTGGCCAGGTGTGACGGACACACGAGGAATTTGACTCAGGTACATCGTCTCTCAATGTGCAGATAGTAAACCAGCATAAGGCTGTGTAATATAACAAAATAGCAGTATTAACATCAACAACCAGTGCAAACAATGCAGAATAAGCAGTATAAACAGACAGTAAACAGTACAGACAACAAAGGAATGTTCATTGAAATGAGATAATTAGGGATAAAATTGAGTATTTAAAAACTAGAGACCTCTATGACTCTGTATAATCTGTACAATGTATATTTACAGGTATTGCACTGAGGGTTATTGTCCAGTCATACTGTTGTTGGTTAAGTGTTCATCAGAACGACAGCCTGAGGGAAGAAACTGTCCCTGTGCCTGGTTGTCTTAGTGCACAGTGACCTGTAACACCGTCCAGAGGGGAGGAGTTCAAACAGATTGTGTCCAGGGTGTGAGGGGTCAGCAGTGATCCTCTCTGCCCTCCTTTTGACCCGTGAGGTGTACAGGTCCTCCATGGAGGACAGGCTCACACCGATGACCTTTTCTACAGTCCTGACTGTCTGCTGAATCTGTACTTGTCCTGTTTGGTTGCTGAGCCAAACCAGACAGTGATGGAGGTGCAGAGAACAGACCCGATGATTCCTCTGTAGAACTGTAGAAATTCAGATGGATACCTCAGTCAGAAGCATGCAGTGCTTGAAGCATATTGTTCAGATCTAAAACCTTTTGGTTAGCGTTTTGTTGTTTTGAGCATTTCCATTTCTTATATCTTTTTGTGGTGAAATTTATCATTTTTATTTTCATTTGGTTTTCAGCTGTCAGTGGGAGAGACTTAGAGATAGTACTCTCACTCCCACTGTCTTTTGAATAATCAGAGATATTTTATTTTAAGCTCCTTTGTTGTAAAATGCTCCAATGCCACAGACAGGTGCTGCATTATTCAAGGTGCTTATGAACTCCAGAGTAGTTTTTTTTTTTTTTTGCTGAGTGATAGTATTTGTATGATTTGAACACTAATTAAATTGAGAGTGATGCAGCTGCTGTTTCATATTTTTTCCCATTCAAATCATGAATCTGAATTAGTAAACGTTTGTGTCTAAATAGGGGTTATAGGGTGTCTAATGAGTTGTGCGAAGTCAGTGAGAGTTTAGTTATAAAGCATGAGCAGCCATTCATCTGTGGGGATGTCTGATGAGCACCGCAGTGGCACCTGTCCTCCTCATCTTCTTTGCCCTGATTGGATTTGATGAGAAGTCAATTAATTGGTTTAAAAATTATTTGTCTGATAGATCACAAGCTGTTGAAGTGGATTGTTTTAAGCCTAATTTTATGGGTATTCTTAGAGGAGTCCCACTAGGATCCATTTTGGGCCCCACTTTTTCACTATCTGGGATCTAAAGTAATTAGCAGCACTATGCTTTTATATGCAGATGACATGGTCATTTATACAATGGCTCCCTCCACTGATCAGGCATTTGGAGTCCGATCTTAATGTTGTTCAACATCAGCTTCTTGATCTTAAGTTAACATCAAATTACAGTAAAAAAGTATGACTTTTTACTAGAAAACAGTGTTAAATTGATCATTTTAATTTAAATATAGCTACACTGAACGGTGCTGTCATTGACAAAGACTGCATATAAATATCTTGGCTTTTGGTTAGATGAGTGTTAAATTGAGACATTAACTGTTTTTCTGTATAGAAACAGATTTTGTTTCAATGAGTGTCACAGGAGGCAGTCAGTACATGCAACAATTTTATCTGCACTAGACTATGGTAATATGATTTATATGCATGCCTCTGCCTAAACATTGAAACCCCTTGACTCAGTGTATCATGCTGCTATTAAATTTGTTACTGGAGATCACTTTAGGATCATCATTGTGAATCATATTAGAAAGTAGGTTGGCCATCTTTGACACTGAGAAGAGCACATCGTTTTATGTCATTCATTTATAAAACCCTACTTAATAAGTTGCCTGAATCTATTACTTACCTCCCGAGTTATAATTCATCAACATACCAGACCCATTCACAAGATTATCTTGTTCTGCAGCCCTTTTTTTAGCTAATACAGACGTAGGAAAGATGTCCTTCCATTACTGTGCCTTGCAAACATGCAATAGTTTGCAGAAAAAGACAAAACTGGCTACTCTCCATATTCTCACTTTAAGCTTCTTTTATATAGTACTTTACAGTTTAAATGTGTGTGTAACAGGTGATCTGGATAATGTGTTTTTAACATGATTTTATGTGTATTTTTTATTGTTTTAATGTGTGACTTGTGGTATTGGATTTTCAATACTGGTTTTATTTGATCCACATGTAAAACTTTATTATTGTTTTGATGGTGTTGATTGTTTGTTAGGGCACCACTGAAAATGAGAGCTTGCTCTCAATTGGTTTTTCCCTGATTAAATAAAGGTTGATGATAATGATGTGTGTTTCAGGGTGTCGGGCGCGATGGCTAATGCCTCCCCAGACCTGGACAACGCGGAAGCCCAGCGCCAACTCAACAACAACAACCGACCAATCAGCTCTGGGTTCTGGGAAACGGAGTGTACCAGCTCCAAGCTGTTCGAGTGCTCCCGGATCAAGGCCCTGGCAGGTCAGAGGTCACACACATGAGCTAACTCATATCCACACAAACGCAGACACACACACAACAAATATTTCCGCATTAGTACATATATTAATATATCTCCATTAAGGGCAGGATGCTGATTCTTTGTTGGGTTTCTTTTTGATCCCACAAATCTCAAATTATCCCAACTATCTCAGCTAAAAGAAAGGAACGAGTCTGTCCCCCCTTTCCCCTTGCTTTTACCATAAGGTTGATTCCTTCATTTTCCTCAGATGAACGAGATGCAGTGCAGAAGAAGACTTTTACCAAGTGGGTTAACTCTCATCTGGCCAGAGTATCCTGTCGCATATCTGACCTCTACAACGACCTGAGGGATGGATACATGCTCACCAGACTGCTGGAGGTCCTCAGTGGAGAGCTGTTGGTGGGAACACATGCACGCAATAATGAGCTTTGTACCAGTGTTGTAGTGTCTCTTAATTGATCCTTCATAGGACAGGAAGTGAGGAAGTGTCAGAGGACTTTCCTGTGAATGTGAAAAATGATTAGTCCCTACTGTACTTTTTACTCCTTTTTTAAAGTCAAATTCAAACTGTTTTGGCAAAAGTTTGTTTGTAGTAATTATATTTATATATTTTATATTACTATGCTAAAGGTATATGATGCCGCATGACTTCAATAATAAGGGCTTTCATATGAGTAATAATAGAAATAACTCAGCTCTTGGTCCTTCCTCAGCCAAGGCCTACACGGGGTCGTATGCGGATCCACTGTCTGGAAAACGTTGACAAAGCTTTGCAATTCCTTAAAGAACAGAGGGTTCACCTGGAAAACGTTGGTTCCCATGACATTGTGGATGGAAACCACCGCCTCACCCTGGGTCTTATCTGGACCATCATCCTACGCTTCCAGGTAAACAGCCTAACAATACAATTAGGTATCATTAAAGTTATGATGCACAAACACAAACACACACAGAGCCCTCACTCTGTTACATTTACACTCTGTCAAACCAGTTATTTAGTTTTCTCCCATCTTTACATGTACATATTATCATCCAATCTCACACACACACTCACACTGATACACAGGTTTCCAGGCAGCAGCAGTGATACAGGATCTGTTCCTACCATGTAAGTACAGCAGAGTACAGGGCTCCTTTTGGCATGCTTCAGGGCTACAGTGTGGCCTCAGCATGAAATACTTACTTAGCATTATTCAGACCCTCCTGTAACATTCACGGTGCACAGTCACCGAGTAGCTCTCTCCTAGGACTCAGTGTTTTCATGCTAGCGCTGGCTTCCCAACACAAAGCACATTTTACAGCAGTGCTAGCAGAATTAGCTCAAAGTATGTTGGTGTGACCCTCTGCAAACTAAGCTAGCGAGGCAAAGATGACAATGCAGATCAGTTCAGACATACTGCAAGATGAAGGAATTAACTGTGAAACTAAAATCACAATGAATTTTGTCTTGTTTAAATAAGAAACACTCCAGTTTCACAGTACAGAAAGAAACATTTCGTTGTATGGTTTGCTAGTGATCCAGACCTGGAATTTATCCCATTGCATGATTCGTTAAGTAATAACTATGATACTAACTGGGTCTCAGGCTTAATTTCAAATCTGAAGGCTTGGTTACAGTGTCAGTAACAAAACTGAACTGAACACTGAAGTGCTTCGAATAATGCCAGCAGGTTGGCAGTGGCTTGGGCTGTCTGAGTGGCCTCCAGTTATGTTTTCCTCTTGCCCCTTTTCCCTTTCCTCTCCTCTGTGATGAAAGTGAGAGTTAGCTTTGCCAAGTCAGCAGGTAGGGCCAAACTGCTGCAGTAAGTGCACACAGGCAGAGAGAAGGAGAGGGATGGGATTGTGGGGGGGTGACAGGCAAAGGAAGAGGTAATCCTATTTACAGAACCATACACAAATAATAACAGTCTGGAGTTCCAATAACAGTTCTTTCCTTCTCCACAGCCTGGAGGTGGTTGTGGCCCAACAAAAGTTGGGACGCTTGTGTTTGCATCAGTTTTCAAGGCTTCATATACATCCACTGCTGCAGAAAAGATGGATGTTAACCTGTTACTTGATCCCTTTTAAAGGCCTGAAACGTACATAGGTTTTTGGTAACTTTTTCCCTCTGGCAGTTTACTTTTTAGCCATGTGCCATTTAAGGTACATTTAGTCATTACTCACAAGTTACCAGCTTATAGTAATCGCTTAAAAACAGCACGCTTCATCTTATTGCTTGCAGTTACCAAGATGGCTGTCAGTCTTATCCCTGTTCAGCCACATTAGTTGTTCTGATACCATGAAATACTGGAAGACATACAGTATCACAACATACTAAGTATTTTTCTACCCTCCCTCACTGTCCTGCTAGGATTATATTGAAAACAACAATATTATATTTTAGCTAACTATAAGCTTATCAAAGAGGAAAGTCTTATATAAATGCATATTCCAAAACAGAAAGCAGTTAGTGCACAGTACTTTATAACTGGTCTGTGAGACAAAGTTTATAGTCTCTTCCCAATGGACATTGAACTGATGCTTTGCTGTGTTCTTGTTTAGATCCAGGTGATCAAAATAGCAACAGAGGACAACAGAGAAACGCGCTCTGCCAAGGATGCCCTGCTGCTCTGGTGCCAGATGAAGACCGCAGGGTGAGCAGTGAAATAAAAACACTGACAGCTGAAAGCTGCAGCAGTGAATTTTGTGGTCATTTATGGCATTTACCAAGTCAGTGTGTCATTATTAGGATGCTGGTTCTCCTGGTTTACATGCTGGTTTACATTTAAATCTACAAAGGATTTCTCCATGCTCCAGGTATCCTGAGGTCAACATCCAGAACTTCACCACCTGCTGGAGAGATGGCCTTGCCTTCAATGCCCTTATACACAGACACCGGTAAGTAGTAGTTTTAACACACCTCCATATCATGCTGTTATCTTTTGATGTACGGGTGTTTTTATGCCTCTGCGCTGGTGACAGCTGTGGCCAGAAGCATTATGTTTTTTGGGTGTTCATCCTATTCTCATGACACCGTATCTCTGGAGCACCTTGGGGGAATTTCTTCAAATTTGGCACAACTTACCCATGAACTGATTAGGTTGGTAGGTAGGTACTTTATTGATCCCTCAATGGGGAAATTTCAATGTTTTAGCAGCAATGGAGAACAGAGAGCATAACACCATGAGAACAAGCACCACACACACACATCCTGATAAACAAATTCCAAGTACTCAAAAATAGACAGAATCAAGTATTTGAATTATCAAGAACAGAATTTACATATGTGTATATTAACCATGCATTTTACCCCAGGATTTGAGTATTGCACCTCAGTTGACTATTACATAGTCCCTCATAATTTCACCTAGCCAGTTTGTTAAGTCTCTGCCTGTCCCTGTCCGTGCTGCCTCCTGCCCAACCCACAACAGTGTAAAAAACCGCAGATACCACCAGAGAATCGTAAAATGTCTGAAGGAGTGCCCCGCGCACACCAAAGGACCTGTCTCCTCAACAAGTGGAGGCGGCTCTGGCCCTTCTTGTACAGGGCATCGGTGTTTTCAGTCCAATCCATTTTGTTGTTGAGGTGGACACCCAGGTATTTAAAGGTGTCCACAATCTCAGTGACTGAGCCCTGAAAGCTGACCGGAGTGAGTGCTGGTGATTTCCACCGGGGATCAATCACCATCTCTTTTGTCTTACTGGTGTTCAGGACCAGTCGATTTTCCTCACACCACTTCACAAAGTCAATAACAACCCCCCTGTATTCCCGCTCACCCCCCCAATACACATCCAACAATGGCGGTGTCATCAGGTGGTGGGAGTTGTACTTGAAGTCCGACGTGTAGAGGGTGAACAGAAAGGGGGAAAGCGCCGTCCCCTGGGGTGCCCCCGTGCTGCAGACCACCACGTCTGACACACAGTCACGCATCCTGACAAACTGAGGTCTGTTTGCGAGGTAGTTAATGATCCATGCAGACAGGTGTTGGTCCACACCTGCCCCCTCCAAATTCCTCCTCAGCAGTGACAGCTAGATTGTGTTGAAAGCACTAGAGAAGTCAAAGAACATGACCCTCACCATGCTTCCGGGGGACTCCAGATGAGATAGGGCTCGATGCAGCATGTAGATAATGGCGTCATCAACCCCGGTCGATATGCAAACTGCAGCGGGATGAGCACCGAGCTCACCTGGGCACGGAGGTGGCCAAGGACAATCCTCTCCATGGTCTTCATCAGATGGGAGGTCAGGGCAACGGGTCTGTAATGGTTCGGCTCCTTAGGATGAGGTATTTTGGCAACCGGGACAACACAGGATGTCTTCCATAGGGCTGGGACTCTCCAGGCTAAGACTCAGGTTAAACATGTACAGGACCACCTCACTGAGCTGGTCTACACACTCCCTGAGGACCCTGGGGCTGATGTGGTCAGGGCCTGTGGCCTTCCTGGCTTTAATCCTCCTTAACTCCCTCCTGACCTGGTCCACCATGAGGCTGAGGGGACGGGTGGGCGGTGACTGCTCAGGAGCTGTGGGCTGTTGAGAAACCCCCATGACAGTGGGAGGAGGGGCAAGGTCTAGCTGAGGTGTGAGCAGCTGCGGCTGCAGGGACACAACTGACCCAGAGAAGTAAGTCGGGGCGGCTGGCAGGGTGGGGGCTGAGGACTGGGTAGAGTCAAATCTATTAAAAAACAGATTCAGTTCATTTGCCCAGGCCTTGTCCCCCGCGACCTGGTGACCATCTCCACTTTTACCATGACCCGAGATGTGTTTCAGGCCTCCAGATCATGTACTTTAGTTCCCGCTGCACCCTGCTCAGCTCCTCCTTGTCCCCTGAGAGGAAAAGCCCTCTTCTTCTCATGTAGCAGTACTTTTAACTCGGGACTCACCCACAGCTTGTTGTTAGGAAAACACCGTACTCTCCTGGATGGTACGGTATTAGATTTTAGTGGTCAAAGGTCAAGGGCCTCATGTCTGTCCCATTTTGTCAACATGATATTTCAGGAATACCTTGGGCAGGATTTCTTCAGATTTGGCCTAAACATCCACTTGGATTCCAGGATGAACTCATTATATTTAGCTTCACTACATATATGAGTCTGGACAGACATGCATGTAAAGTGGAGCTTGGCTGGTTGTTTAGACATACAATTGCAGAACGGTAATTCTAGCTGTTTTGTAATTGTGATGTTTTAAATGATGACAGCAACAGAGGGAATGTTTGCAATGGCATTGTTTTTATTTACATGAAAAATTGAAAATTGTTATATTTTCAGTTTTACATGAATTGAAGTTATAGGATTTTGATGTAATAACATAACGAGAAAAAAAAACGCTGCAGTGGTTAGTGGCATCTCATAGCAAGAAGGTTCCGGGATCGAGCCCAGGCCGACCCGGGGCCTTTCTGTGCCTGCATGGGTTCTCTCCGGGTATTCCAGCTTCCTCCCACCGTCCATAGACATGCATCTTAGGTTGACTGGCGACTCTTAAGTGTGGGTGTGCATGTTGGTTTGTCTACATGTCAGTCCTGTGATAGACTGGTGACCTGTCCAGGGTAAACACCGCCTCTTGTTCAATGTCTGCTGGGATTGGCTCCAGCCCCCATGACCCTATCCAGGATAAGCGGTATAGTTGATGGCTGGATGGATATAAAACAGCTAGAGTGACATAAACAAAATGAACAGGCAAAGAGGGAGTAGGAAAAGTCGTGCCATAGATTTGACCGATATGCAATTTTAGGATTTATACAAACATGTCTTGTGCCCTTCAGACCTGACCTGATAGAGTTTCACAAGCTGACGCGGTCCAATGCAACACACAACCTCCAGCAAGCCTTCAACATTGCTGAGCAGCATCTGGGCCTCACCAAACTCCTGGACCCTGAGGGTGAGAAGGTGTAACTGGTTTTGGGTCCATGCCAGTGAAACCACATCATACAGTATACAGCAATACCCAGAATAAAAATGTTTTCTTGTACACACCATGATAATAGTAAATACTGTGTTGCTCCAGCTAATGTTAAATAGATATGAACTCTGCTCTCTGCATCCATCACCTTGCTCTGGTCCAGATGTGAATACAGAGAATCCAGACGAAAAGTCCATCATCACCTATGTGGTCTCCTACTACCATTACTTCTCTAAGATGAAGGCTCTTATTGTGGAGGGCAAGAGGGTTGGCAAGGTAAAAAAAAAAAAATACTCTCTCACTCTTTATCTCAGTGTATTCTTATTTTTCACTTCCTACTTTTTCTTCACTCTGTTTCTTTCTTCTTTTGCGGATCTTCTCCCAAACATTTTCTTTCTTCCTCAGGTATTAGACAACTGTATTGAGGCAGAGGAAATCATCAACCGCTATGAGGCTCTGGCATCAGACCTACTGGACTGGATCGAAAAGACCATCGCGGTCATCAGCAACCAGAAGTTTGCCAACTCGCTGACTGGAGTTCAGCAGCAGCTACAGGCATTTACAACCTACTGCACCATAGAGAAGCCCATCAAGTGTGTTTTGTGAATTTTTGTGTCACTCATTACCTAGCACACATAAACATAAGTATATGTTTTCACACATGCATATGAATTTACGCATACCTGATACTGAAGGGCATACATTTGATTCAAACACTGCTTTGAAATACTACTGGCAGCTTGGTTGATGTGCTTTGATTGTGGAACGTTTTCCTTGTCGCACAGGTTTCAGGAGAAGGGGAATCTTGAGGTCCTTCTCTTCACCATCCAAAGCAAACTCAGAGCCAACAACCAGAAAGCCTATGTGCCTCATGATGGGAAGCTCATCTCAGACATCAACAAGGTCATACATCCACCAGCTGTATTATTTGTTATATATACAGTAAATCCCCCCTTAGTAAATGATTTAATAGTTGAGTGGTAACAGATATGTACAAATTCTTGATTAATTAAAATGTCACCAGTGTAACAGCTGAGACCAAACCTGCAGCCAAGTTTTCACCTCACAATGACGCCTGACAGTTTAACCAGTTATATGTTACATTGCTCCTGTTTTTCCATTGCAGTAATGCTGTTAATCTTTTCTTTGTCATTTCCTGTCCAGGCCTGGGAGAAGCTGGAGAAGGCGGAGCATGAGAGAGGCGTGGCTCTGCGCAAGGAGCTGATTCGTCAGGAGAAGCTAGAGCTGCTGGCTCAGCGCTTTGACCACAAAACCTCCATGAGACAAGCCTGGCTCAATGAAAACCAGAGACTTGTATCACAGGTAAAGTTTACCCAGAATTCCTCTGTCTAACATTATGTTTCCACTGCGATGTGGATGTGCTCTTTCCATTGAAGTAGTGTTCTTATTTTCTCTTCTTGGAAGAAAAGATGTGGTTTCCTGTTCGCTTTACATTATAAATCCTGTTTAGAGGTAAATGCAAACAGACTTGTGCAAATCAAAATATTTAAGTCACCTTTTGCATGAGTATGAAGTTATACTGTAGATGACTGATAACTATTAGATCATTTTGTCCTATAATTATATCTTAAAGCTGTACGTACTTATTACAGAACAAATTGCATCAGTAGGTCTGAAATAGAAAGTATTCAGGATACAGTGTTTATATATTATAAAGTTCTTTTCTTTTTTTTACTCTTCATCAGTCTAATCCTCTTTTCAGTCCTCCCCATATGTCCCTGTCTTGGCTGCACACCTTCTATTCTCTCTCTTTTTCCTTCTGTCTGCCTCCAGGACAATTTTGGCTATGATCTACCAGCAGTCGAGGCGGCAATGAAGAAACACGAGGCCATCGAGGCGGACATAGCCTCGTACAAAGACCGAATTGGCGTTGTGGTAGAACTTGCAGCAGAGATGGAGGTGGAAGGATACTACGACATCCGGCGTATCTTAGCACGTAAGGAGAACATCCTGGGGCAGTGGAGTTTACTGAAGGAGCTTGTGGCTGGGAGAAGGACCCGGCTGGAGAAGAACCTGGCCCTGCAGAAGACATTTCAGGACATGGTCTACATGATCGACTGGATGGAGGACATACAGGTACTGAAGGGTGAATGAAACCTGTGTAGTTCGTAGTTACAGAGGTAAGAAACTGGAGCTGGACAAACATGGAGAAAGAGTAAAGTCTTCTTTGGAGAATGATAATGGAAAAAGAATAGAAAAGTTACAGAGTCTAGGAAGAAGAGAGAGTAATAGTCTGTGAGCATGTTTTTGGTTTATAAAAACAATAAAAGAGAATAGAATAAAATAATAGAAACAAGCAAATCAGAAAGTCTTCTGATGTTTTATGATATCACACATTTCCTGTCATAATTCTGCCTCTGTCATCCTCCTCTCCCTCCATCCCTTCCCCCCTCTCAGGTCCAGCTGCTGTCCAAGGATTTTGGAAAGCATCTTTTGGAGGTGGATGATCTGCTGCAGAAACACAGCCTACAGGAAGCCGACATCGCTGTGCAGGCCGAGAGAGTCGAGACGCTCAACACAGCTGCGCTCAAATTCACCACCATAGATGGTACACACATGTATCTTGAGTATTGTGTGTAGCACTGGTGAACTTTTTTATTTTATGTATCTTTAGCTTTATATGACATGAAAAGTGAATGTTTAAAGGTTTTTAGTTGATATGACATGGCATGAAAAGAAATCTTGAACTGCAGTTTCTAATTGATCTGGTTAGAATCAGTCGCCTTAAAGGAAAGTGAAAGCAAATTATCACAGTACACTAAGATTTCCAATTTGCAAATATTCTCTTAAATGTTCTGTACTTCATGAATCTCACCCTGCCTGCCTCGTGTCATTGTAGTTTTACTAGTAGAACTTTATAAATCCATCCATCAGCTACACTGAGGGTCAAAGTTTAGCGGTTTGTAAAGAAGGCCAGCATGAAAAGAATCCTTGCTAGGCAGATTTCCATTTTGCAAACATCTAATAAAGCTCCGTCTCTGAAGCCTATAACCATTCATCAGAACATTTGGAACACCGATGTGCACAGCAATGTCCAGTAGGCTTTTTTAAACAGTAACCTTGATGACCAGAATAATGTGGTTTGTTAAATGTAGGGTTTTTGGATTTTAATGAAGATGCTATGGTTGTTTCTTTTCCAGAGATTGTTCTCTGTTGTAGACTGACTGTCTGAAACAAGGGAGCAAGGAATCAGTGTTGATTTCATTTAGTCCAGTGAAAATGTACAGTATGTGACTATGCACCTTTTTGTGAGGTGGCCCAGCTCTGACTGCTGTTTTATATGAATGACATCCTGTATCTACCTGTGTCTTGTTCATGGTTGTCAGCCTCATTTTGTTTTTTTCCCAGGTTACCAACCCTGTGACCCACAGGTTATCTGTAACCGTGTCAACCATGTCTCTTCCTGTCTGGAGGAGCTGAAACACCTGGCAGCTAAAAGACGTGTTGAGCTCGAGGAGTCAAGACAAATGTGGGCCCTTTTTCAGGTAGGACAGGTCGAGAGGTTGTTGTAAACATTCCCAGCCAGTTACGGGGCCATTATACTCTGTTACTGCTATAAAATATATGCACAACGCTACACACAGTGTATAAAGGGTACAAGGTGTAAACAGTTTTAACCGGCTCCACACTGATGAAAACCTGATGAGGTTGAAGCCAGTCAGCATTTTAAACCACTGTGCCCGACTACAACATTTGTACAGTACAGCTCTGCCCCATTGATCACAGAGGCACTTCATAAGCTGCAAGCTGGGTTCAGCACTGTTCAACTGCAGCTCAGTAAACTTAAGCTTGTTTTTAACATTAATAAAACCAAGCTTATGAAGTTCTCAAAGTCAAGAAAAAGTTCATTAAGTACTATTGACTCTTATACAACTCATGTTAAGAAAATATCAGTCGTCCCGTGTTACAAATATCTGGGTGTTTGGGCTGATGAATGCTGCAACTTTAAAAATCATGTTAATGAAACAGCAAAATGCTGTAATTATAATATTTAGTTGTTTGCTGTTTTGCAGTAGTGGTTGCTCATTTGAGGCACTGATTTAAAATAAAAGTCCCTGCAGCACCGGAGGAGGTTTTTTTAATGTGTTTTACATGCTTTACATGTCATGCAGCTGTGCTAACTCAGGTGTTAGTCAGATTTAGCTGTTGTTTTCTGTTGAATCTTCGGAAGAACAACAGCAACATCACAGAGCTGATGGGTGACTTGTTAATGTTCGTGAATAAGCTTTTAGAATGAACTCTGGAAGTAATGAGTGCATAATGAGAATAGTGGATTTCTTTGTTGAAGGAGTCATTACACCACACCGTTGAATCACTACATCACATTACTATTTCATTTGGCTAATTAGCTTTCAGCCATTTTAGACGTTACAGGAGAAGAGGGCTCTATATTTCTGAACTGTTTTCTTTTATGTAGTTTTTTCTTTAAGTGATCAGTTATTTTTCTATGTCTTGGTTTTCCCCTATGTATTGTTGCCTCACTGCTCTTTGTATTTTCTTTTATTTTTAACTATTTCTTCGATTTATTGTAGGTTGGGTTATGAAACCTAAATGTTTTCTTTTTTAATATGTTTAAATGTAAAAAATGTAAATCTTGTTAATCTGTTTGTTCTGTTGTTAGGAGCTGGAGGAGTCGGAGGTCTGGATCAGGGAGAAGAGCTCCATCCTGGGAGCTCAGGGCTATGGGAGGGACCTGAGCAGTGTGCTGAGGTTACTGCAAAAGCACAAGACTCTGGCTGGAGAACTGCTGGCTCACAGGGCACTGCTGCAGGTGTGTGTGCATGTGGGTGTTTTTGTTTTTGTCTCTGTTGGACAGAATCAGCACCTGGAATAACAACAGTACCTGAGGTTTCTTTTCTGATCTGAATGCACTTCAGTATACAGTATATATCAGCCTGCCTCTTTGTAGGATCTGACTGTTTTACAGTTTGAAACAATCATCATTTACATTATTAATTAAACTTGTTGTTCACTTTTAAATTTGATTCATACATATAATAGGATAGATACATTGCATATACATGCAGATTTACACATAAAAGTTTGAATATAATGTAAAATTGCTGACCACAAAGACTATAAAAGCTATAAAAGAAGAAACAGGAGCATTAAATGAAGGCATTCAGGGGCATGTGCAGCACAAAGTGTGGAGGACTGTTTTCAATATAACCAGAGCATCTAATTGGCAAAGATAAATATTTGACATTTAGTATTTGAGAAACACTTTGATTAATTTCTCTTTAAAAATACATGCTAGTATTATGTAAATGACGTGCGCTGACATTCTGCATCATGATGAAAGTTTAAAATGTCTGTTTGTGCAGAGTTCAAACTGTATGAAGGTGAACGTCCCAAACAACTGATGTCTGCTTTAAGAAAAGCATGAACGTGTCATAATTAAATCTAATGTTGTGTATAGGTGAGCCATCATTGATAAGGCAACATGTATGTTACACATAGACCTTAGACCAATGTTACTTGGAGTTAAATACACGTGCCAGGGTATTGTGGAAGCTGCAGTACATTTTGAAGGTACAGGACTTCACGTCAGTCATGTGGCTCTGTGTGTGTACATCAGTTTTCTTTCAACTTTTCTCTGCTGTATTTCTAAGCTCCTCAGAATCTGCTGGCAAAATACTTCAGCATGTTAACATATTACATATAAGTGTAATTTGATGCAGATTTATTGGATTTGAAAACAGTAAGAATTGCTTATTAAATCTAAGCGGCCGCAAATTATTTGTAAGGGCTGAAGTCAGTTTGTCCAAATTTCAAAGTGCTCTCTATTAAGAGGCATTTTCTAGCCCATGTCCCGCTGCATCTATCAGGTTTGGTGACCATGTCACTGACTACATGCCATTCCAAAATCTGCTGCAAATAAAAAAAAAACTAACAAACCCACATTCCTACTCCTACACATTAAAGCTCAGATGTTGGCTAGAGATTCACTTCACTGCACTGAATTAATTTAGAGTAACACCGGTCTCCCTCCAGAACACCATGAAGCAAGGAAAGCAGATCCTGAGTGAGAAAAGCTTTGGCACAGCAGGGATCCAGGAGCGCATCATGGAGGTGAAGGGAGAATGGAAGCGACTGGAGGACCAGGCTGCGCAGCATCTTGGCCACCTGCAGGAGGCACTCAACTTTTTTCAGTTCTCCACGGAGACAGACGACTTGGTAGCTTGGCTACAAGATGCTTACCGCCTGGTGTCCAGCGAAGACTTTGGACACGACGAGTACTCTACTCAGTCACTGCTCAAGAAACACAGAGGGGTCAGCGAGGCCATCGACAAACACTGTTTGCATGTAGTGGCGCTTCGCAAACACATGGTGGCACTACCTCTGCAATACCGTGAACAGGAGGTGGGTAGAGGAAGCGGGGTTGAGATGTGTAAGTATTTGTTCGTCTATTTACATCTCTTCTTCACTTTTTGTTCCTGTCCTACCCTCTCCTGTCTGCAGGAGGTGCAGGTTCGTATGGGAGAGGTGGAGCAGCTGTATACCGAGGTGGTCGAGGTGGCGGTGCTCAGGCAGCAGTGGCTTCATGATGCCCTCGCTGTCTACCACATGTTCAGTGAGGTCAATGCCTGCGAGCTGTGGATTGATGAGAAGGAGCAGTGGCTGGACAAAATGGAGATCCCTGAGAGGCTGGAGGACGTGGAGGTGGTGGCACACAGGTGACAGGGAGGCTGAACAACTTGTTTTTGTATAATTTATAGCTGAGGAGCGATGAGCTCTGACAGTCCCACTGCATCAACGCTCCTTGTTGCAGATTTGAGAGTCTGGACCAGGAAATGAACAGCTTGATGGGAAGGATCTTGGATGTTAATCAGATAGTTCAGCAGCTCTTGGATGGAGGTCATCCGTCTTCTACAGAGGTCAGAGGTTGTCAGGACCACCTCAACTCCAGGTACTGAAATAAATCTCCTAACAGCTACAACAAATTTTAGTGCTACTAATGACATTAACAATTGCAGCATCTTTCCAAAACCTTGTGATGCATTGCCAGATGTGCCTTTGCTGCTAATACTATTGTTACATTACAGTACATATTTGTATAGTGTTATTCGAATACTAAGTGCTTTGACTGAAGTATAAAAATACAACGTAACACAGTTTAGAAACACAGTGACGAGAAGGGAGGAGTAGGCGTGAGGAGAGGGAGGTGGAGAGAAGTCGACTGAGGCTCGGGCTGTGTAACTATTCAGGGGAACACTCTAGTAAAGAAGAACATTTTCCTGTTCCTATTGTTCTGATTGTGACAGTGATTTATTGTTTTGTCTTTCACCAACCACCATGTGTCTTAGACGTCTTCACTGCATTTTGGCATCCTGGAGCATTGCCTCGCTGCCTGTCTGCCATATGGATCTCTGCTGCTCTGGTCTTCTTCTCTCTGTTTGGTCGACATGTTTATGTATGATAATATCCGGTCACGTCAACCCAGCGGTCAGGTTGGCTTTTTTTATCCATCTCGTATTTACTGACCGCTGTTACGCCTGGCAGCAGAGTCCATGACGGCCGGGTATCAATGAGTCTTGTGACCCTGGCACATAGTATTGGTCGCAGGGCGGCCATCTGTGCTGGCTGCCTCAGGCAAGACGACACCAGCTGAGAGCGCTCGCCCCAGAAATGAAAACAAACATACAAACATCCATGTCTCTCTTCTTATCGCCAGTTTCATTTAACTTCATAAGATGCAATGAAACGCCAACAAATGTCAGTGGAGCAAAATACATTAATCTAGTGTAAATGAAAAAAATGTAGTTATATTGCCCATTAGTAAAGCACATGGTCATTTAATCTACTGTGTTTCATCTAGTGACTCAGTACTGTATGTTTGCAGCTCAGTCAATTTTATCCTGTCTTTACATTTTCGACTTTTCAGATTGAGATTTGTTCCTATTTCTTAATTGAAGTAACACTCAGACATGAGTGTCTGTAGGATTTTAGACAGTGAAAATATCCAAGTCTAAGACATGAAGTGGCAGCAGTAACAGTTTTACTGATTTTGATGCTTATTACTACAAACTTACAATATTACTTTATTTTTAAATTAGTATTTTGAATGAACGTATTAGCGTAAATTCATGGTTATACGTGTTATACATATATGCACATCTTATCTCTCATTTTTGTGAATCAGCAGCCCCGTCACTCACACCTAAGATGTTGTTCAGTCTATGGTATAAGTGGACCTGTGCAGTTGTGAGCTCAGTGTCTTGGAGCTGTTTTCTGTTCTGTCTGCCTCTCGGCGACTCTGCCATTGCCACATTACAGTCACAGGCATCTCTGGGCGTGTTTCTTGGCTGAACGGGTGTGTTTTTGAGACATGCTGGTGTGGAGTATAATCAGGATAACATATAGTAAGTAGATGGGTCCTGTTCATATCAGGTCATCATAACAATGAGTTTAACATGTCTTTCAGTTATGATGAGCTTGTCTCCTCTCAAGGGTAAGATTGATGTCAAGGGGTGACAGAACTTCAGAAAAATGAAATGCACTAATGTTGTATCTGTTGTAAATTATGAAAGCTCTTGTAGAGAAATGTTATAGTTTCTGTCTGCAGTCACCTGACTGTTTTACTCTGTCTTGTCTGTCGCCGCATCGTACCAGGTGGAACAGCATTGTGGAGCTGGTTGAGCAGAAGAAGGATCAGCTGGACTCGATGTTACGCCTGCAGAACTACCTGCTGGAGTGTGCTGAGATAAAGTCCCAGATCCAGGAGAAAAGAAAAGCCATCGACGCCACCCAGTACGTGGGCAGTGATCTGGGAGGAGTCCTGGCTCTGCAGAGACGCCTCTCCACCATGGAGGGAGCTCTGTCTGTCCTAGAGCCCAAGCTACTGCATCTGCAGGTAGGAAATGATGGTAAGATACAGTGAGTGTGCAAACATTCAGCAGTATAAGGAAGGCATTATTTATTTAAGGTTTTAACTGCCATATTACCATACCAATAAAAATCTGTTGAGATTATTTCCATTACAATAAGAAAATAAATAAAGTTTTTAGGTTTTTAGTCTTGTCTGAGTCACGTTAGCCATGAGAACTACCCCTGCTAATGTATTTTCTACTTGTTTAGTTTTCAGTTTCTCTATTTATCTCTATAAACAAACAGAGTAAATGCTAGAATCACTGTGATGCTGTATCCGTTTGGCGATGCAGGAGGAGGCAGAATATCTGGTCACCTCTCACCCGAGTCGGGCCATGGAGGTTCTTGTACCTTTTGATGGCATCAGTGTGGAGTGGGAGGAGCTGAAACACACCTTACAGGGCTGTGAGGACTCGCTGATGGTGGCAAGTCGACTGCAAAGCTTCATACAGGTGCGCCCAGATACACCTGGAAGCAATGTATCGCTCTGATCGATTCCCACTGATCATCAATACAAACCTGTGTCTACGTCTTAACTCCGTCCGTCTCATCCTCCTCTGACACTGGTCTGTGACCTGCATCACCATTAAAGCCACATTTTCAACACTACTAATGTAAAAGCACAATACTGTTTTGAGTTATTGTTCAGATTCAGATAAACTTTGTATTAGCAAACTCATGCAGACACAATATGCTTCATAATTTTGTGTTAATGAAGCTTTTGTCACTCAAGCAAAACATTTGTTTAATATTTTGAGGTTGTAGCATTTTATCAACCAACAAATCACAGTGTAACAATAACAGAGACTGTGAAAACCATGCCAGGAAACTGGTTGTTTTACAAAGTAAATTGAGCTAAAACAAGGTGTATCTGCCGCAGGCTAAGCAGTAGCATCTGGACTCCGCTGATAATCTGGAAACGAACTGCATAAACCTACCTTTGTAAGAAGAAAGAAGGCATTTTTCCAAACAGAAACTGCTATTTAAGACGCTTCACGGTATTTTTCTTCAACAGAGTTTCTGCAGTGCAGACTAACATCTGAATGCAACTTATGTCCTTCTCTGTCCTATCAGGACCTGGACTCGTTCCTCACTTGGTTGGTTCAGACGCAGACAGCTGCTGCCTCAGATCAGTTGCCCAATGATCTGGAGGAGGCCGAGAAGCTCATCAACCAACATGCTGCCCTCAAGGAGGAGATTGGGCGGTGGGTTAATGAAGGACAACAAAAGACTCATTTGTTTTGACTTTGTCTTCAACTTCCTGAATGGACCTAAAAACTTATCCAGTGTTCAGAAAATAACAGATCTGTGTTGTTGTCTACACAGCTATGAAGAGGACTACGACCGCCTGCAGGCCATGAACGAGCTGCTGGAGTCTGAAGAGGCTCCTCTCCCTCAGGCCGCCCTGCAGCAGTGGCTCCAGAAACTTGACGTCGGCTGGAATAAACTGCTGGAGATGTGGGAGAGCAGGAGAGAAGTTCTTGTCCAGGCTCACATTTTCCATCTGTTCCTGCGAGACGTTAAACAGGCGGAGTCCTTCCTCAACAATCAGGTGAGGCGAACAGAGCCATAGCAGGTGGTCGGAGCTAAAAAGAAGCAAGTTCTTTTAGCTTTTTAGCTGCACAACAGACATCTGCATAACTTAAATCATTTGTGCAACATTAGGGGAGTTCTGTTAAATGATGCTTGACAACCAGATAAAAACAGGTGCTGTGATATGTGATGCCACTGATATGTCAGGGAAATAGTTCTAAATATTCTTTGGTCCACAAATAAAAATATCCATATACTGTATGATAGTGAAGCAAAGTGAGACTCGAGGGCAAAATGGTGACACCACAAGTCAAAGAATAAAATACACAGATACAATACTAACAATTTTCAAAATGCAGCATCACAAAGATTCATAGAATGTTAGACAACATGAGGTAAAACCAGAAGGAGGATGAGGTATCATGCACCACTGAGTTTACAATCCCTCACTCAGTCAGTGAAACCAAAGCTTTAGTTTGATTTCCTTTTGTAAAGTGTTCCATGTGTTTGGAGCAGAGCATACGAATGTTTTCCTGCCCGTCTCAGTCCATACACCGGAGACTGGCAGCGATAAATATCATGTGATCTTAGATTGTAATTATATCAACCTTCCTCAAAGCCCTGAAAATAAACATTAAATGTACAAGGGTGACAATGATTGTCACGTGGACTGTACATTTGTTAAATAATGTCAATGTTTTGTTTCTCATCACCTTCATGAACACATTATCTGTAAACAGGCTTACTGATGCCTACTGACTGCAGCAGAGACACACAGAGTGTCAGCTGATTGGGTGTGGTTTGTACATAGTTCTGCCAACAAGAGAGAGGAAGATGTGGTGTGTGTGTGTGTGCAGTGTATGCGTCACCTCTTGTCTTTCTGCAGTGTCTTTGTGTTATGTGATATTAGAGCAGGAGCTGTCGAGCCAGCAGCTTCTAGTAATTCTAGGTCTTCATCTGTGGCTTTATGATGAAGTGTAGGAGGAGCTGTCGGTAGCCTTCTAATGCTCAAGCCTGTGTGTGTGTGTCTTTGTGTCAACATTATACAATATGATGATATTTATTGGTTTGTGTTAAATTGTAATTGCTTGTTATTGTCTGATTTCCAGCCATGATTTGTAGGTTATTGTACAAGCATTTGGTTTGCAAAGATCCCACCTTGAAGCTTAACTGGATTTAAACAGTGCATGAAGTGAGATTATATTACTTTAACAAAATTTGCTGTTGCAAGCAGTTTCTCAAATATTTTAGTGGCACAAATGAATAGCTAAGTGTGGTGTTTAAAATAAGATCCCATCTGATTTTCATGTTGTCAGCAGAGACAAAAATTACAGAAAGCAAGAATTTTGTGGAAAACTATTTGTTTTCAGTCCTTTTTTAAAGTAGGTGTGGACGTTGTCAGTGGTTTTACCTTACCTGAATGATGATTATGCCCCTTGTTTTACAGTTTATAAAGGTACAGTACATCTGTGTGTTGGTCAGAGCAAGCGCCTCTTTTGGTTTGCTAACAGATCTTTACCAGAGACCGGCCCTCCTCATCAGCCTGGAGGTTGATTTAGAGAGAGCAGCAGTTCTTCTTCAATAAGTATCGAAAAGATTCCAGTCTGTCTGTCTCTCCCTGTTGTTTCTGCCTGCACTTATTCTCCTTGTTTTTGTTTGACTGATTATTTATTTAGTTTATTAAGTGAGAGAGAATTGTGATAAATACCTCCTCACATCTTCCCAAAGGCCAATGTGATATCTTCAGGCTGTTTGTTTTGGCCGATGAACGGTCCAGATCCTAAAAATACTCAATTTCCTATCACATAAAACAAAAAGACAGCAAATCCTCACATTTGAGAGACTGAAACTAAGGACCGTTTTGGTATTTGGGCTTGAAAAATGACTCGACAGGTTAGTGGAATATGCAAATACTTTCTGTTGATTGTTTAATTGACAGTGTTGATTGGTTAGACGACCAAGAGTAAAACAGGTTGCAGCCCACATGATTCTTCACCCTGTGGTTTGGTAGATAAGTAGTATTTATAAATAAGCCACTACCAGGTTTAACCCTACATTATTCTTACCTATTCTGAGGTAATTATATTTTTCTGTGTATTATGGCTCTTCACAATTTTTTTTGTATTATTCTTTTGACTGCAGTTTATCAGTTCCTGAACTGAGAAGTCACCTCATGGCTCCTGTCTTCATCTTCCAGGAGTCAGCCCTCGCTCATGTGGAGCTGCCCACCACAGTGGAAACAGTTGAAACTGGCATAAAGAAACATAAGGACTTCACCACCACCATGGAGCTGAACCTGCACAGGATCAAAGCTGTGATCGAGGCTGGCGAGAGTCTGATAAGCCAGAACAACATCTACTCTGAACGTATCAGGGAGCGCATCGACAACCTTGCCAGCAGGTGCCAGATACGTGCCTATCTAGAATTATCTCCTTGTGGTTGTATGTTAAGCATTTGCTGGTGTGTAAACTCCCTCAGTCATTTAAGTTCCTTTATTAAATGTTGGATACTGTATCTTGATTTAAAATTAACCTCCTTCAAAAGTTTTAGGTTTCTTGCTGTGAACTCGTTGAATAAGGGTCAGTTCAGCCTGAACGCCAACTGTAGCACCACTCACTCTCCGAGCTGCACGTTGAGCTGGTTGTATAGCACAAAGACCCACACAGCTGTGCAAACTCAATACAACAATAATACAAAGAATAATAGCAGCTGAACAATTCAAGGCAGAGGGGCTCACAAGAATAACTTAAACAAAACACAGAAAACAGTGCCCAGTCTGTCTGGTCCAGAACTGACACCTGCCCATGAAATCTGTGTGATAGCTAAAATGATGTGTGTGTGTGTGTGTGTGTGTGTGTGTGTGTGTGTGTGTGTTGGAAGGGTATTGTGTGAGTGTCCTCACAATAACAGTGTGGTCAAGCATATGGTTTTCAGATTTAATTTACATGAATTAATTCACTGGACATTTCTTTTTCTTGCAAGGGAGCACAGCTTTTAACGTGTCACCCTGTGGTACTGTGATAAAATGAATGATGGCTCTTTTTGATGAACAAGTCTCCAGTCTTGTTTGCTCATTTTTCTTTGAAAATAAATCAGGAGTGTGACAGGTTCAAACGATAACTCTGGTGACCACAGACATCATGTCTGAATGGGTCTGACACATAAGTATAAGATTTTATTTTAAGTGAAGTTAACAAATGAATCTTATGTTCTCAGATTAATACAAATTAATCATCCATTCCATCCATTATCTGGAACCGGGTCGCGGGGGCAGCAGTCTAAGCAAAGATGCCCAGACTTCCCTCTCTCCAGACACTTCCTCCAGCTCCTCCAGGGGGATGTTGAGGCGTTCCCAGGCCAGCTGAGAGACATATTCCCTCCAGCGTGTCCTGGGTCTTCCCCGGGGCCTCCTCCTGGTGGGACATGCCCGGAACACCTCCCTAGGAAGGCGCCCAGGAGGCATCCGAAACAGATGCCTGAGCCACCTCAGCTGGCTCCTCTCGATCTGGAGGAGCAGCGGTTCTACTCTGAGCTCCTCCCGGGTGACCGAGCTCCTCACCCTATCTCTAAGGGTG